ATTCTATTATTTGACAAGATCCTCATTTTTTTATATATAAATTCTTTAAATTAATTATTTCATTATAATATTTGTTTAATTGCATCTTTAATACTGATATTTTTTGTTTTTAATTTTTTATTTATTATTATAATTTTGTAATATATTCACTATTTTCTACTTCATCTATTTCTAGTAATTCTTTAGCTCTTTCAAATAATTTTGATAAATTTGAATCTATGAATCTTCTGATAAATGTAAAACTTTTAATGAATGCAAAACTTCTAATAGGTGTAAGCTTCCAATAAGTATGAATTTTTTGACAGATATGATTTATTATTTCTTGATAAACATTAAAATCATGTGAATTATTATCATTAATCTGAATTCTTTTGTTTGCATAAACAGAATCATATAAAAATCATTGATAAAAATGGTTAATAGATATAACTTAGTTGTAATGTTTTTCACAAATCAAATAAGAATTTAGAGAAAAATAAAGATCCATAAGTTCAGGTATAAAATTATAATAAAGCATAAGCTTCTTAGCTGTTTTTTTTGATATTGGTATATCTTCATAATTCACTATATTTACTAATTAGGTTAACAAATAGATATGAAAGATCTTTAGCTCTTTGTTTTGTTCTAACAAGATTATTAGACTATAATATTTTTCTTGAATTCTGATATCAAAAAATTTTTTTAAAAGTAAATTAATAAAAATCAAATACAATTTCTTATGTATTTTCGGTTCTCATTTACTTTTTCAAAAAGAGTTGATTATGAAAAGGTATTAGCTGATTATAAAACTTTAAGTTTTTAATTCTCTTCGAATATATGCTATTAATGAAGTTCGACATTAAAAAGTTTCACAAATCTTGGTCCGTTGTTAATCAGTGATGTGACAATTAATTTTATTGGATGACGATCAACAGTAATGTGACCTGACAATTATAATTATACGTGTTTCCCATACACCCGTTTAGTCATATGGACGGCGGTTGTACTTGGAAGTGCGAAGCGAGACTATCACTTTGTCATATGGACGGTGACCTTTCTTCGTAGTCCTGCCGGCTGGTTTAACAAATGGTGATCGGACCGGCAGTGGTGTGCGTGAAATGACCTTGCTTAGCCATATGGGCGGTAAACCTTTCACGCACAAAGGTAAGCCACATATTTCGCTTAACCAAATGGGTGGCGAGAGTGTGGTTTCAGCTTTTATTTTTTATATATCCGGCATGTCTCAATTTGTTTATTGATTTGTTTTATATTACTAATACAGCTAAATTCAACGATGCATTATAAAACGAGATAAATTCTATGGTATTTGTAAACCTTTACATTTTTCTTTTGTATTTCACATATAATTAATCATATAAAATACCTATTGAAACCAAACTCGCCTCCTTATTTAGGAACGCAAAAATAGTAACATTGAATATCATGACATTCCATGAAGAAGAAGAAATTTATTTTGGAACAGTATTTTGAACGTTTTAATACCTTGCTAGAGACCACAATGTAAGCGGCGCAGGTTCCGGATAATTTCATTTATGATTAGTAGGTATGCGAATATTTGGCACGGAGAAAAGTAAATATGTGACAATGCTTGATCATTTATTCATTCATTTTATTAATCTATTCACGAACATTGTTGGCAATTGGACCAATTGGACTTAGTAAAACTGCGCCACAATTTGAATTGGACATATGAATTTTATATGTAAAATTGTCCAATTCATGCAATTGGAATGATAAAATTGCCAACACTGTTCACGAATGAATTAAGTGCAAATCACCTATATAGCATCTCGATAAACGTCATATAATTCACCGAAATCGTTTTTCACAATCCTCCTATATAGAAATATAGAAGTAATATCAAATCAGAAACGAAATTCCGGAATTAAAACTTAGGATGATGCATTGTGAAAAGGAAGGAGCCGAAAAAGTATCTAAGCTTTTATAGGTATTGGTAGTAAAGCAAAAGTTTCACAGATTAGATCTATCCCTGCAAGATTTACTTTTGTTTATCCAGTATAATTTCATAAATAAGAAAAAATTCTTCTACCATAATATGAATTTCAATTCTTGATTACCAAATGTATCTTAAAATGATCCGGTTTCTTTACACAATTCATATTTTATACTCATTTCTTTATGGTGTGTTCTTTATAAAATTAAATCACGTGCACAAATTGTAATGCAATCACTTTTGCCAAGAAATTTGTGGCGATCATGACTATAAGCTAAGTAATCTTTAACTTCAGGACCACTTCTTATAATAAATCATGTGAATCAAAACTATTAAATATTATATTATCATAATAATAAATATAAAAAAATATAAAAAAGTAAATTAAGATCATTTTTAAAAAGAATTCTCAACATTTATTTGCATTAATATTAATAGCAGGATCATTTATATATCATCTAAATTCCTCCTCTTCCTTTAACATATCTGTCTAATCTTAAAGATATTTACCAAATTGATTTTTCATATTTCAGTAATATCAAGACTAGATTTTGTGTATTAAATAAAATAAATATAAAAAGTTAAGAGTAAAGGTTAGTAAAAATAGCATTAAGATAATTTCTTTGTTAACTTATATTTAAATCAATTTATTTTATATATCAGTTATGATTTTTAGCAAATATAGCATTAATCCTATAATATAAATCATTGTAAGTTAGTTTATTCACATCAGGCTCTTTTTTCTAACCAATGTATGCTACATGCGGGTGGTGTAACGCTGCTAAAATGAATTGAGTTACGCTACTTTTTGCGTTGTATTATCTCTAAACTTTCACGTGACTTGCTGCCTATCGTGAAACGTAATTCGCATCTCTTAAAAAAAAAAATTATATATATAGATCATTTAATTTCACCGACAATTCGTGTATTGGATCTAACGACCCTTCAACTAATTTATATTAGGTGGGCACAACCCATATAGAAGATCATGTTATGTATTTGATTTTGTCTTATCAAACTATTGACACTTGATTTTTTCCTTTCAGAATCTATTTAATTACTTATAATGGAAGAACAGATAGAACAAGCGGTAGCTTATGCATTAAGTCCCACAGCAGATCAAAGCCTGAAAAATCAGGTTGGTAGTTGGAAATCAAAGGTTCCTCTGGTAAAATGGGTTTGAGTTAATGTTAACAGATAGTTGGAGAATTGTTATGACGCGTAATATTGTTAAAACGGGGTGAAAAACTTTGAGTTTCCTGTGTCAAATTTTTTTTTATCAATTGGTTCCTTAATTATTCCTTAACTTCCATAATTTTTCAAATCAATAATAATAAGAATAATGATAATTATAATGATAATGATGATAATAAAAAAAAGAAAAAAAAATTTCTAAACATCTAATCAAGTGACCTAATGATGTATATGTTTTTCTCGCTTGTTGGTTTGATTTATGATATCGATTGTATTTTAGGCTATCAATTTTTGCGATCAAGTAAAGGTATCTCCCGATGGTTGGCATTTATGCTTATCTTTGTTCGTAAGGTTTCCAAAAAGGTTGGTGTGTCCATTGTTTTTACACACTGACCTTGCATTTTGATTTTATAAAAACAAGTTGAATTTAGAATAGATACTATTATTATAACTTACTCTTAATTAACATCACAGTTACCTTCCATCCTCCCTCTTTTAATATAATATATGTGCAAACTATTTATATCGAATTTTCTCTAATTCAGTACACCAGAGGCTCGTTTGTTTGCTTTACAAGTTCTGGAAGATGTGATGCAAAATAGGTATACCGAATAAACTAATGATATAGCATCATCCTACTTGTCAATTTCTTTCTTTATTTTATAATTACTTATTTTGATTTAAAATATTCAGATTTTTGAGTCTTAACAAATCACAAGTTATTCAGATTCAATCCACATTAATGGAATTCGTTAAACGAGAATATGTGATTGGAGAAGGCGGTGGAGTTGATCTTGGTGCCGAACCATTATGTTAGTTATTCTTATGAGATACTTGTGAATTTTTTTTTTTCCAAATTAACGTTATTTCGTTATTTTCCTAATAATCAAAATCAATTTTTTTTTTAATGCAGACCTGAAGAACAAATTTGCCCACACTTTAACTTTACTTTTCATTCAGATGTATCCTTCGGATTGGCACGATTTTTTCGATCAGTTTCTGGAACTACTTCAAACAAATACGGTGAATGGAAGCAAGACAAATATTCGTACAGTAGACATTTTTTTGAGAATATTAATGTCAATTGATGAAGAAGTTGCAAATATAGTAGTTCCGAGAGGAAAAGATCAGGCTCATAGAAATACAGCAATCGTTCGTATTCTGCTATTCTTTATTGTCAATTTTCTTCATTTTGCAAGAAAATCTTTTAATATCATTTGAAATGATCTCTTGCCAGAAAGACAATATGAGAGCAGGCGATATACAAAAGCTCACATCTACTTGGTATGAAATATTGAGTGATTATCGTGCTCGAAATCCAGAGATTGCCGAAATGTGTTTAAAAGTCATTGGTCTTTACATTGGTAAAGTACATTATTTTGTTTTCTAAAAATAATAATAATAATAATAATAATAATATAATTTGATTTTTTAATGATTATTATATTTTATAACGCTCACTTTAGCTTGGATTGATATTAATTTAATCGTGAACGACGCGTTTATTACGCTTTTATATGAGTTATTGACCGATACGAAGCTTCGAATTGCTGCTTGTGAATGCTTGTCAGAGGTGTTTTGCGTGTTTATTTGAATTTTCTTTTTGAATTAATTATTATATAATAACCTTAAGGATTTCTTTTGAAATAGATTGTATATAAAGGAATGAAACCTGTAGAAAAACTCAAATTGATTGAGTTTTTAAGTTTGACTAATATTATGGGAAGTTTGGAATTTGTAAGTAGAATTAAATACATTTATATATTATTTTTTCTTTATATTATAAAACTGTTTCAAATCGGATTCATTTTTATAGACAGAAGATATTGATTTTGTGGAACATGTTGCAAAATTAACTAATGTTTTAGGTGTAGAATTATGTAAAATCTGGGAAGGGGTATAAAGATTTTAATGATTTACTAATTTTGTTTATAATTAATTTGAGAAAATTTTTTAAATCATTTCACATTTTCAATTGTAAGGCGGATACTGAAACAAAAACTGTCGCTTACAATCAAATAGAACTGTTACTTCCATTTTTATTAAAATTTTTGGCGAATGAATATGATGACGTATCTTGTGCTGTATTTTCATTCGTATCAGCTTTGCTGACGTTTGTAAGTCTTCAATTTAAATTTGTTATTTAAATTTGTTATTTATATTTCTAATAATTTATTTCATTTTAAATTAAACTTCGTAATTTTTAGTTTAAAAAGCAAAAGAAGCAAGTTGGATCTTTAACTGGACCACAGCTTGAATTTTTAGATTCATTACTTAAAGTCATTGTCATTAAGATGAAATATGACGATGAAACAGATTGGGAAGGGGCAGAGGATGAAGAAATGGAAGAGGCCGAATTTTTAGAGATGCGAAAGGTAATATTTCATTTATTGTTATTATGTAATAATTTTGACAATTTTTTGATCCATAATTTTCAAATTATTTAGAATCTAAAAGCATTTTTTGATGCAATTTTTAATATCGATGAAAGTTTATTTACTTCTTACGTTCATACTGCTGTGGTTAATACCCTAGAAAAGTATCAAATGGTTGAAAATTCAGTTGACTGGAGAGAACTCGAATTAGCTTTACACGTGTTACTTTTATATGGAGAGGCATTTAAGGGACCGTTAGTTTTCGTAATGAAACATAATAATGAAATCGTTGCATTTACTCCTTTAGGACAGATGGTTTCAAGAATGATTCAATGCAGTAAGTATATGATGCATTTAATTTATTATTCAATGATAATTTACGTATAAAAAAAATTTTAATTAATAAATATATATAAATATTTATTAGATGTTTCAACATTTCAACACCCAGCAATACCTTTGATATTTTTTGAAAACGTAGTACGATACTATCAATTTTTTGAAGTGCAACCAGATTGTATTCCCAGTATACTCGAAGCTTTTGTGGATTCGCGTGGGTTACATAATAGTATTTTACAGATTCGTACTCGATCTTGGTACCTGTTCTATCGTTTTGTGAAATTGCTCAAATCAAGAATGGGACCCTATGTGGAGAATGTGTTGACTAGTATTCAGGTTGAAATGCGATTCGAGATTTGGCAAAGTTTCCGAAAATCAAGACTTACAATCTCTATCAATATTTAGGATTTATTGGTAGTACAAGCTGATCTTTCTTCAGTAGACGCATCAGAAGGGGCTATAACAAGAGATCAAGCAATGGAAGGAGGATTTGATGATCAAATTTACCTTTTTGAGACCGTTGGTACATTGATCACAGTCGAATCTATTCCTGCTGATCGTCAAACGGAATTTGCAAAGGTAAATTCATAATTGAGTTTATTAGATTCTTTAATTTTCAAATTATACGTTGTACTTAATAATAGTATTCTTTGACCATATTTCAGATTGTTATTAGTCCTCTGCTGGCAGATATTGAAAGAAATTTAACCACAGAATTGTCGGAGCCTAAAGATCTTAATGTACTTCAGCTGCATCACTTGATTATGGCAGTTGGTAGCATTGGAAAAGGTTTGCTTTTCTCATCTTTTAAATATTTACATATATTCAAATTGACTATAATAATTCATTTATAGGATTTCCAGAAGCTCCAAAAAATGAGGCGCCAAATGCTCAGTGGGTTGTATTACTCAAACAGTCTACTGAAGCTATATTAGTCGTGCTTAAAGCTTTAAGTCGATTTGAAATCATTCGAGATGCTGTAAGTGATGAAATTCATTTTTTTTTTTAATATATAAAGATTATCTATTAATAATAGATCATATTTATTATTTTAGGCAAGGTTTGCATTTGCAAGACTTGTAAATATTCTCGGTGTAGAGGTTTTGCCTTATCTTCCAGAATTAATTACTGGATTGCTTAATGAGTGCCAAGTCTCAGAATTATTGGATTCTTTACCTTTTATTGGACTACTATCTTATAAATTTAATGTATATTTTTCTTTAAATCTTTCTATTATTTCTATCCTTATTGAGACACTAACAATTATTTTTATCAAATATATTTTTATTAGCCATCAATTTATGATATTTTAAATGAGTTAATTGGTCCTTTGATTATTAAAGTTTTTTTTGTTTTAAATCAAACGCCATCTGGAACGGATGAAGCAGTGCTATTATTGAATCTTCGAAAAGCATATCTTAGTTTTATATTAAGTCTACTAAACGGTGGAATGGATGCAGTCTTTGTTAGTGATTGTAAGTGGTTTTCCCTTCATTTTCTTTTACGTCGTAACCTCCAAGATAATAGTAGATTAAATTCTCATTTAATTTAATTGTTAGTAAATCAACCGCGCCTGGAAAATATACTTCAAAGTGTTGTTCATTACGCGAGTGATCTTGTTGATTTACCATCGGCAAGGACTGCTTTTAGTATCCTTTTAAAAACGGTAACATTATGGGGTAGCCCCATACAGACTTCAACAAATAACGTTGACTCTGGTCGATCTCTTCCTGGCTTTGAACAATTTATGTATGAGCACATATTGCGAATTTGTTTTGAAGTTCCGATGAAGCCTGCATTTAACATAACAGATGGACAATCAGTTCTGGTATATATAATAAATATTATACTTCAAACCATTATAATGAAATGATCTATTAATTTTTTTTTTTTTTTAAATAACTTGCCAGGTATTAAATGAAATACCAGGTATAATTAGGACTATGTATTCGCAACGAGGACACGAGTTAATTGATTATTTAAGAAGAGTTTGGTTACCACAAAATCTTGCTGATGAATTTGTGCAGGCTCTACAACAATTGGATCAAAAAGGATTCAAAACATATTTTCGGGTATTTGTTAATTTTATATACAAGATAATAATTATTATATCACAATGAAAATTGACAAATTAATTTTTTTAATTGCAGACATTTGTTCAACGATCAAAATCATGAGACATGTAAGGTTAATAATGAATTATTTGAGTACCATTAAAAAAAATAATGCTAGTTAAATTATGTATATTTTCATTTGACTGGATAATTATAGAGGGCAGTATATTCATTTAGTTTAGATAATCTTGATAAAAAAAAAAAAAAAAAAAAAAAAAAAAAAATTTTTTTTTTTTTTGATTTTTGTATTTTGCATATGATCAATTATTAAAATCAAAACTCATTAATATGTTAATTTTTTTTTAATTAATAATATCTTTCCGAATTTGTAGTAATTATTAGAGCAAACGCCCAAATGTGAACGTCTTATATTACAAAAATGTTAACCTAATTTTGTCATTTTAAACTTAATTATAAAGCTACTACTGGTAGATGTGCAATTTTTTATGTAGTCGCTTTTTGTTGAACATTAGGATTAATCTTTTTGCCATCTTTGTTATATCGAATTCTTGGTGGTGGAGCACGATTACGACGACCTTCGCGTGATCTTACTCTAACTACATGAGAGTGTATCGCACAAGAAACGCAGTAATGTAGCTTGATATATAATTTTGGGAGGGCGTATTCTTAATCAATTTTACAATGTTATTACCGACTTAGTAATAATTTATTTGTGAGAAATTAACAAATAAATTCAAAAATCTGTAAAAAATACCTTGGTAAACAGAAGCATCGGTAATATCACGAATAGCTGCACTTTCTACCATGTTACGAACAGTAAAGCGTTTAATAGCCTTGTCCTATATGTATAAATATATTTGTATATTAAAAAAAATTAAATAGATTACTCATTAATAATTAGATTAAAGGACTTGTATTTGTCAATGATTTGTACCTTTGGAACGCAGCGAGCGCAATTAGAACACCGCACTGGCTTGACATGACCACGTCCATGTTTGTTACGTCCGTGATTTCTTCTTTTTGTGGTCTTAACGGGTTTAATCAAAAGATATTTTTTAAAATTTTTAATAGCAGTATAGATAAACAAAAGTTTAAAAGGAATGCTAATTACTCAAATACTCACCATCGTCAAACAGTACAATTGGATGGAAGTGAAAGGAGGAACTTTGATTAAAGCGTTTTTTCGGTTTTTATGATTATCAGGTCATCGTTTATTCACGTGATTTTCCCTCATCTAAAATATTATGCGATAGCCCGGCCGGCATTACGGCATCAAGAAAATTTATTTTTTAATTTGATCTAAGCAAGCCGGAAAATGATCCTCTTGCAATTCGGCTAAAGATTTGATGCACCGTTGAACCTGTAGAAGAAAATAGAAGCACGGCAGAAGCGTAATACAAAAAATGCCCGGCTAACTCATAATTTGCCAAGAAATTTATATTATTCGATGCACAATGCAATAAAATATTATCACATCTCCCGCATGTAGCATACACAAGTCAAAAGATTATATGTATATAAAAAAAATTAAATGTGCGTGAGGAATTCACACTGATCATTTTTGCCAAGAGAAAAGTTTGAGATTAATATAACCAACCAATTACTTATTAATATTTAACACATGCTATACTCTGACTAGATTATATGAGATTTTGTATATTTCGGGAAAAAATAATCCATAAAATTTGCAGAAAAGCCTTTCAATCATCTTTGGAATCAAAAACGTCCATTCCACATCGGACAGTTCCTGTGTCTTACTCACAAGTTGATTAAATTTTGGTGAACCGAGGGTATTACGTTTGAAGATTGCCTTTGGTGATGGTGGGCTTGGATTAAAATGCTTACTGTATAAAGTATCAAATGACTTGCAAAAAATCTCTCGCACTCTTAAAAGAGTTTCTATTTCATTAACAAATAAATTCATCTCTTTGATTAAAGAAGGAATGTATAATTGGCCGATATGGATCATCATATACATTCCTTGGATGAGATCCATCATATAGAAGTCTATTTTGTTCTCAAAATAGACAAAATGGTTTAAAATTAATCATAGGGAAAAAGCAAAATTAAAATATTAAAATTTACCCTACCGACACATTGAAAGCCTAAAACCTTCAAGTCCGTACCCTTTTCTATGCCTGAGTCAAACAATCTTACATGAAAACACAAAACGAATTAGATCCTTACAATTCTTATATACATTGTTCTTTTATGAAGGTGGACTTACTTCGCCCACAAATATGACACCGCATGTCTGCAATTGATGAATCACAGATACTACGAAGTCTGGTTGTTTGGATCTTCCTTCTGACTTCCTCACCTTGCTTTCATCAAGACCTGTATTGGGCCATTCAACAATGTGTCTGTTGGGATCATGCAACATCTCCCTCGTTACGTGATTTAAATAGTTTGTTACCAATGTAATTTCACTAGGATCATTTTGATCTTCGTAAAGGGTAATGACCTTATACAGTCCAGGATTACAAAGCCCATATTATCCTTCAAAGGTTTATTATTGGAAAGTTCAACCATCAACCAATCCGTAGCATGACTAAATGATTCTTTTGTTACTCGCTTTATTGCATCCCTGAACTTTGCTTCACACTCTGAATCCAATGCAGTTTGCTGTGTCGGGATAATTCGTTGGTGAATCTCAACTAATAGTGGAGAACCAATATATCGATCATTTTTTTTCGAGTGCGAATCGGGGATAAGCAAGAAAATCGATGAAAGTGAAAATATTTCATGGACGCTCGACTCAACAAATAAACCTTCTGTTTTTGCATATTTATGGAATTGTTCTGATGGTTCCGGAACAAATGAGACACGTTGGTCTCTTCTATCTTATAATCATCAGCTGAGTCTCCGTCCATAAAGCATAGATCATCAACATCATCTATTATTAAGATAACATCTACCTCATCTTTCTCCAAGAATGGATTATTGATATGATCGACGAGCATTGGAGGCTCTACTGGTGAATTGTTTAATGCTGGGCTATGAGACATTGGCGTCGTATACCCGACTTGGCAATACTGCTTTGGAATATCATCCGGTAGCCCAACAACAGGCGGTTCCTCATTAATTTTCACATCCTCAAACGGTTCTTCATGTTGAGTTTCAAGTCGTGGGAAATAATCATTGATCTATTTTTTTGTACGTTCTTTTTTGTCTGTTCACTCTAAGTATTAAAATACAACATGATTAGTTATGATCCTCAACTTTTGGATACATTATTGATAGAAGATCTGCCGTTAATGTTTCCAGCATTTTCAACCAAAGGATTTCCCGTAAATATTGGATTATTAAGGTGAACGGAGGGTCTAGCTTGTTCACGCTTGTGCTTCTATATTCTCGATAAATGATAATCGGGTTGGGAACCCTAACAAAGAAAACCCAAAGAATTAGAAAATCCTTACTGATTCTCATCCCACCAGGTCGGCTTAGAGGCTTGACGTCAGACAAGCTTTGAGATTGTCTGCGTCCCAACACTAGCTTCGTGGCTCGACTTTGAAGACTTGAATGGCAGAAAGCTTTGAAGGTCCCTGCCACGCCACCAAATAACTATTTAGTACTTACTCGCCTTTATATATCGAACAAACAGTAACTTTGCTCGTTAACATTCATCTTTTCCATTATTTATTATACTCTCAAGTGACATAAGGTAACATCCTATTCTGTCCCTGAATGATTCCACTCCACATTCTTTAAGGAAATCCGTAATGTTCCAGTCATCGGGTTTACGGTTGAAGTATTTATGCTCCATGAGTTGAAAGAAACGATTTTTTTTTCAGTCTACTTTTCTAAACGCGATGCGAAATACAGTGAAACCTCCATAAGTGCACCCTCTATAAATGCACACTCTGTGTAAATTCTCTCTAAATGCACAGTAGGCTTTTGTCCCAACTCATAATATTTTATTCTCTATAAATGCACACCCTCTCTAATTGCACATTCTGCTATTTTTTTATTATGGTCCAAAGGGGAGTGCACTTATGGAGGTGTCACTGCATACGGAACGCGTCCTAAATTCATTTCTTCCCCAGTATCACCACCAAAAATTCTACCCCCACGTGATCATAGAAATATTTGTCACTCCATTTTCATAAGTATTCTGGAATGAGGGGTAACGAAATGAGAGACAATGAAACGGTGGAAGATCAATTGGAAAAGGAATTGTATAGTAAAGTGTGTGTTGTAAAGAGTATCAAACATTTCGTTGGAGAAGCAAGCAAGGAAAAAGTTTACATGAAGGAGGAGGACAGATTTTCCCTCAACTTGGCAACAATAATCGCAAGAGATGATGAAGTTGTTGCAGTAAGGTTATATGCTTCATCCGATGGTTATAAAGTTTGCCTTTTTAAAAACTCTTCTTGGACGCCAGATGATATTTCTTATATTAGAAAAGTCGAGACGTACTTGAAAATTATATCTAAATATTCTCCTGCAACATCAGAAGTTGTTGAGAATACTGAGAATGCTCTTATACACGAAATCAAGACATACTGTTATACTAAAGTTAAGTCTAGGTTTGAAAAACTTAAGAGAGATATAATTGGTAGTCAGGAAGGGTATATTAAATCTTTCACGGATTTTGCTTCAATCAATGTTAATAAATTAAGTAAAATAGATAAAGAGGGATTGTACAAAATTTGCAAAAAATGTTACATGTATTATAAGATAACCAAAAGAGATCCTAAAGCCCATCCAAAATTCCTAGGATATCTCAAGAAAATGGGGACTTATGTTGGGTCTGTGATAGAAATAATAGCTTGTGCAAATAAACCAAATCACAAAACTATATTCTCTAAATTTGAATTGCATAAAATGGAGCCCACTATTATAGCTGATCAGCCCACATTTTCATGAAAAAATATTATCAAAAGATTTGTCAATGATGAACAGTATAAATGTTTCATGAACAAATGTCAGAAAAAACCTTTTTTAATGGAAAGATTAAGAAATACATATATTGATAAAGTTACACATCAGCTTCAACTGGATAATGGCATTAAGCAACGCATATTTTTACATGTGGAAATGAACATATTGGCCAGCATAATAGATGAAAAAAATATGAATAGGCAGTTTATAGCAGTATCTAAAAGTTGTTGTTATTTGTGTGAGCTTTATATAGATTTTGCACGTAAACGAGGATATAAAGTCATCATTTCTGAAACATACAAGAAATTATATGACGGTTGGAAACTGCCACATGTAGTAAATAATAACTTCAAGAACGAATCCCTGAAACATCTACTAGAAAATCTTAACTTAATCATAGAAAACAAGATAAAGCGCTATACTAGAAGTTTATTAGCAGATTCTGATAGCACTGCAAATAGTGTGAATGATAATGCTAATAATGATGATTCTGATCAAAACTGTCTCTTAGAAAAGTTTTAATAAGATTAATACATAACAAGTCTATCTAAGAAGTTTAGCTTTAATATATTTTTTTTTTTAACATGTAAAGAATTAAAAAATGCTTAATTTTATAATTGCAGGAATATTCTATTAATAAAGCGTAATTCAAAGTGAAACTTTATTTTTTTTACAAATGAATTTTATTATCAATTAGTACAACCTACATCTTTACATATTTTATAGAATAAACCTTCTTTTTCATTTTTTTCATAATAAATCAGATTAGATTTTATTTAAAATTATTTTTATTTAAATGTGTATATTTATTATTTTTATTTTTTTTCAATATTTATATTATTTAGCTCTTTTTCACTATTAATTCAATATTTTATAATTATTATTTGAACTTTCATCATTTTAATTTTTTCTTTTAATTATTCCTTTATTATTTTTAAAATTATAGTCAAATAAGTAATATCAGCTATATTAATAAATAAAATTTTAAAATAAAATGAAAGATTGCAAAGTTTTTTATACATATCTATAAATTTTTTTATGTATAATACTTTATAAATTTATTTTATATAAAATTATGTATAAAATTATGCATATTATATATTATATAAATTTTTTATACATAAAATTGTACACAAAATTATGTTATTATGCATTATATAAATTTTTAAATATAAAATTATGCATAAGGTTACACACATTTGTACATTATATAAATTTTTTTATATACAAAATACATATTAAATTTTAAAATATTATATATACTAAAAAATTATGTGTATATAGTAGCGATCATAAGTATCTGACTATTTGAGATTGTCTAAAATTATTATATAACAATTCCTTAAATTTTTTAGAAATATAATATAATACAATACATAATCACAGGTAAATTTATAAGTGTCAATAATATAAAAAAAAAATTTAAATAATCATCAAACTTTCGCTTGAAAAATGAAGCTTTCTTCAGAAAAATAATATGAAATTGTCTTTTTACACAAACATTCAGCTGATCTAAAGTTTAGTTTTGAATTTATTGCTAAACAAGTATATTATAGTAAGTCTACAGCTATTTATTGAGTTAAAAGATATCATGAAAATTGAGACCTAAGTATTTCAGAAAGATCAAAATAGTCTTGTGTAATAATTGTAAAATAAAATGACAAGATTGTAAAGATAACAGAAAAAGAATATAATATAATAGCTATTCAAATACAAGAAAAAATGGAAAAAAGAGATGTTGAGCTTAATGTAAAAATAGTAGTCTTTTATGAATTAATAAAGAAATCTTAAAAGGATACATTTTCATAAGTTTGAAGGAAAGTTTAGTAATAAAATTTCTAAACCTTTACTTAAAGAAGACCATCGAAAGAAAAGGTTACAATAGATAAAAAAATATAAGAATTTTTATTGAAATTGGGTTATTTTTACAAATAAGAGTACATTTTAATTATATACATCAAAAAAAGGTTTGGCAATTTCCTGATAGAAAAAAAGTGTTTTATTCTGTTAAGCATCTACCAAAAGTTCATATTTGGAGATATTTTTCTGATTCTGAATTTGGTAAGTTATTTTACTTTTAGAAGAATCTTAATACTGAATTCATGTGTACTATTTATGCGTAAGGTCTTCTAGCTTTCACCTCTAAACTTTTTGGTAAAGGTAACATAGATTAGATCTTACAAAAAGATAATGATTCAAAACATTGATCAAAAATCATGAAAAAATAGAAGAAAGAAAATGATATTAAGATACTTTTTTGGCCATCAATGTCTTCAGATCAAAACCCTATAGAAAACATTTGAAGGTTAATGAAAATTAATATATAAAAAAAAATTTGATTAATTAGAGGGTTAAATGGAAAACTTATAAAAAAATGAAACTGATTATCACTTGTACTTGCTGCTAATTTAATAGCTAGTATGAAAAGTATACAGCTGCACTTATAGAGTCAGATGGTAATTACATAATGTATTAATTTTAGTTAGTTAGTTATGTATTTTTTAAATAAAAAAAATTTGAATTTATTTACTTGTAGCCAGAATTAAAGGCAGTCAGATACTTATGATTGCTACTATACATATATATAAATTTTAAATACTAATTATGTTTGTCAAATATAATTTAATTAATAATTTGTAAATTTATACTAAAATATAACTATAATAGACTAAAATGATATATTCTATTAAATTATAATATTTTAAATAATTTAGTCTATTATATTATCTCTTAAATTATAAAGTAAGCAAATTTGCCTGCAAATATAAAAAAAAGTATTAATTTTAATAAAAAATAAAATATTAATATTAATAATATAATTATTATATAAAAAATATAATTTAATATATATTTTATCAACTTTATTAGAAGAAATTTAAGTTTATTAAGAAGTTTTTTAAATAATTCAATTTTTAAAATTAAGTTTTGAAAATTTATTATAATAATTTTTTAAAACTTTTCTTAAAATTCATATACGGTTAACTCTTTTTACAATAAATTTTAATATAACAAATTTTACAATACAACGGATTTTCAGTGCTTAACAGATTTTTAAATATAAAAAAACTCTTACTATACTGAATTTAGTAATTAAAAATTCGTATTACATTTAACAAATTAAAATCAGAAAAATTTATATATAAAATGACTCTTTTTATAATAAATTTTCTCTATAACAAATTTTTTTTTGATATAATGAAATTTTGCTTAAAATGAATTTTACTAGATTTATATATATAAAATTATGTAGTTATTTGTACCTAATTTTTAAATAAAATTAAAAAAATGAATAAATATTCGTATTACACATTATGTCTTGTGTTTTATATTTTTTTTACATATTTTATTTTTTATGTGTTTTTTTTTTGTATAATGACAATAATGTCAAAAGTAAACTCAAAGAAACAACTTAATCAATTTACTAACAAATAAGATGAACCTTTAAAAAAACAAAAGTCTTTTATAGCTACACAAAAAAAAGAACTTTGTTTGAAAAAAATATCATCACCTTTTTTAAAACAAAAAAGACTTGGCTAATGAATATGATGTTAGTAAAGACATGATAAGTGATATTTTAAAGGAGAAAAACTGTTGGCTTTCTGCGGATACCAATTCATACTAAACTAATTTGAAACATGATAAGAAAACTCTATTTTTTCTCATTAAAAAAGTATTAATAATATGGTAGATAATGCACTCAAAGCTATCCTTATTATTACTGATGATATTCTTTTAACAAAGTCTTGAGTTTTGCTTTTTTATTAAAGGAGGATAAGTTTAAAGGATTTAGTGGTTAAGTGAATAGCTTTAAAAAATGACATAACCTTAAACAGTATATTATACATAGAAAAGTCGCAAGTGTATCGCTTAAAGATCTCGAAACAATAAAAGAAAATCTTTGGCAAATATTAAAAGGATATAGTCCCAAAAATATATTCAATTGTGACAAAATAGGATTGTTTAAAAGATGAAACTATGTTGAACGATATTTAATAAACAAATATCAGGAAAAAAAATAATCAAAGGATCATATAATGATTCTACTTACATGCAATGCAACAGGAAGTAAAAAGCTGACGCCTTTGTTTATACATAAGTATAAAAATCTTAGGTATCAAGAATATTGATAAAAGAATGCTTCTGGTTGAATACTATTAGAACTAAAAAGTTGGATGTAGATTTCAATCTGAAACAATTACATAAAAAAACTCAATACAAAAATGAGAAGATAAAATCAGAAAATTATCTTTCTTGTAGACAATACTTCAATACACGCTTTTTATGAAAGCACCTATCTGACTAACCTCACCATTCAATTCCTCTCCTCAAACACCACTGCCTATTTCCAACCTTGTGATCAAGGTATCATAAATAGTTTTAAGGTGAAAAATATAATTGATTTAATAATTCTTTAGTTAAAATATAATTGACATTAACTTTATTTATACTTAATTCTAATTCAACTTATTTTAGGTATAATATCGAAAGCTTTATTTATAAAATCAGTTAAAACTTTTGATAAATTTAATGAATATCATATCAAACCCTCTGAAATTGATATTAAAAAGTATATAAAATATGTTACATAAGCATGGAATAACGTTACAAATAAACAATTAAAAGTTGTTAGATGAAAGCAAATATTTTATCTAATGATAATCATAAAAATGAGGATGTAATCGGTAATGATATATTACTTAAACTTAAACAGTTAAAGGAGATGAAAGAAGTTCAAATATTAATCGATAAACTAGATTTGACAATCCTTTTTCTGCTGAAGAATTTATCAAGTATGATAAGTCTAAGATTACAGACGAAATGATATCTAATGAAGAAATTTTAAAAGCAGTTTTATCTGATCAAAAAGACTAAAAAGAGAAAGATTCTTTATTGCCAATAATTACTTTTAAGAAAGTTATTGAAGCTTATAATAAAGTAATTTTATATTTGAAGTAGTAAGAAAATCTTTTGGTATGAAAAAGAAAAAGTTAAGGTTTATTAAAAAGCTTAGAAAAAAAGCTTTAAATAATAGCTTGTTTCTTCAAAATAAACTAATCTCAATAAATTTATTACTATTGTTATCTTACGATATTAACGACTGAAAAATTAGTATTAATGCAAGATTAACAAGGGGATTCAGCTTTATTCAATGCTTTAGGAAGAGCTCTGAAGGGTTTATAAATGACTATCACTTTACACAGTAATGTATGTTTAGAATAGACTTGAGGATTTTATTA